ATCCTACAACTTCTTTTAGAAGAACGGAAGGAGAATTCTACATGCTTTCTCAGACAACATTTGAAAAACACACACAAGACAAAGATGGGAGATGCCAAGACTCTACAACCAAACATTTGAAATACCTTTTTAAAAACCCAGGGAAGTTGTAGGGAATAAAAAATCAGAGAACGAATAAATCCATCCAGTTACATGGACTCTTCCAGATCCTCAAAATCATTAAGGGTTTAGACTTGAAAGGAAACTCACCAGTCCACTACATTATCATGAGTCATGGGGACCGGGGTGACCTTCAGAAGTCATCTGATTCAACTCTTGGCCTCTAGAAAAAAGATCCCATAGTACTACCTCCCAATCCAGAATTAAACAGGGCTCCTCATGGCAAGAGATTCTTCACCTGTACTCAGTAATCTATTCCAAGGAGATCTTTCTAATATATCTAGTTTTTACATTGCCAATGCAGAAATACATGGCCACTTTCCCTCACACTAGCTTCAGTAGAGATTTTTAAAAGTTCAATCAGGCCTTCATCATCCCCCTAATAATTTCATCTCAAGAGAGAATATGGTATTCTTTATTACTACCAAATGAGTATGCTCATATTTATAGTGCCCTAGAAATGTCTGTGTATAATATCATTCTAGAGCCTTATTTTATTCTAAACAGTTTTCTTTGTGGCTCACTATATATTGGGTCTCGAGTTATCCAGAGTTAAGTCATATCTTCACAAGACCTTTCCAGGACTGCCTAGTACTGGCATTTCATACCATAGAAAAATCCAACAGTTGAAAGGGGCCCAAAGTTCTCTAGTGAATAAAGACTCAAAGAGTGTTACTATTGTTCATTAATCACAGTATTTTTTTCAAAACATGGACTGCATCCATTTCCAGTTACATCAGCTTAGACAGGGAGGAATGTATTTAAATGGCCCTCATGCTTAGCACAGCATGTTTCATTAATCACAGTATTTTTTTCAAAACATGGACTGCATCCATTTCCGGTTACATCAGCTTAGACAGGGAGGAATGTATTTAAATGGCCCTCATGCTTAGCACAGCATGTAGTAAATACTATTTGCTTCTGATAATGAAGAGGAAGACAAAAAGAAGAAAATTCTGGTACATATGTGATTAATCTTCCTTTAATAAAAATATGAATGAGTCTGATAATAAAGGGGAAGCAGGGCTGAGTAGGAGCAAACCAAGAAAGATATACTGCAAAAACAGGGAGAAAACATGTTTAGATAGAAAGAGTAGCAGAAGAGTAAAAGTACAGAGAGAACAAAAATTACCACCAGATATAGACCTATACTACTAATTCAAAAAGAGCTCAAATTCAGGCATATTTTTTTCTCTTCAGTTTTCCATAATAATCTCACTGCGAAGACCTTCAAAATTAATTGATGTCTGCCACAAAAATGTGAATAACTGTGCACCTCAGCAAGGAACATTACATACTGACGCAAGTCTCCCACGTGGGTGTCCAAGGTCAGAATTAATCTAACAGATGTACCCAGGGCTGATTTTCATGAATTTCAAATAGGTAGATTAGTCAGCTTAGCTTCTAAAAACAAGCAGATCTAAAACAAGGTGTTTTGGTTTGGTTTGATTTGGTTTTTATTTTTTGCTTTTTAAACCCAGAGCTACCTATGCAGGTGGCAGCATCAAGACATTTGAAAGCATAATTGCCATAGCATTCAAATTTGAAGGTAAGGATTTGATGATGAAAAGTAAAGTAGCAGGAGATGCCTCCCAGCTCTGTCCAGATGGCAGGCTCTGCCAATGGAAGCTCCAACCTGCCCCTGACTTGAAAGGGCAAAGCAGAGCAATGTATAAATTGCTTTATCTCCCTGCTGTTATTTTGACACAAATCCTCCAGGGCCAAGGCCAGTCCCAGAGAAAAGAACTGATCTCAAAGACATAAATGTAAGCTTGAGGCTACCTGTCTGGAGGAACAAATGTCAGGATCTGGGTGGGATAGGGTGGGATGGCTGAAAGTGGGTTAGATGAAAGTATAATTAAGGAATGCTAGTGAGAACAGCTCAGTAACCAACAAGATAATGTGATTCTATGACTGTAGAAAATTTCTTGATGGCAAAAATTTTCCACATTTAAGGTTTCTTTCTAAGAGATATTAATAAAAAAGGAGACAGATGCACAAAATAAATCAACCATAGATGTACAATTAAAGCATCAGGAATATATATTTTCTCCTTCAAAGGAAAAAGGAGGTTCTATGCCTGCAGTGGTATTTTAAAGCCATTACAGAAATAGTGTGGCCATAGTTTACCTTGCTTTTAAGCTTCTAGGTGACAGAATAACTCTGCCAAATAGGTGGCAAAAGAAATAAAGAAATCTCTTTGGAAAAGAGGTATAGAGAGATTAAATAACTGGCCTGACATCACAGCAAATCAGGGCCAGTGCCAAGGCTATAATTCAGTGTTTCCAATTAGCAGGCCTCTGCTTACAGTCAAGGCACATCGATTCCTAGGCTGCAAATATCGCTTAATGTTTCAATTACTCTGAAAGGCCCAGGAGGAAACAAAGAAATAGCACTTACCTTTGACAATTTGCTTCGCACATGCATTGTAAACCTGTTCTTGGGTCGTGTTGGGAGGTAGCACCCTATCGAAGACATATGGCTTCCCTTGCTAAAAAAGAAAGACAAAATAAAGAAAAGGGAGGAGAAAACACATTAGAAGTTGAGAAATAAAAAGCACTAATATTAGTAGTTAGACCACAGGCACTAAATCACTGACCCTGTTCTTTAAGGCAGTTCCTTACCAAGACTAGGGAATTTTTACAGTATAAATCACACATCACAATGTATGTGTGCTATATGTTGAGAATCTGAGAGTGGAGGAAAAAGTATTTTTAAATTTGAAAATACTTTTTTTGATGAAAGGTCGGCTGACTCTTCATTCATTCATTTGAATAAACATTTAAGTTCTCATTTAGAGAACTTACACTGAGCCAGGCACTGGACTAGACATTGAACAAATCAGAAAATGGTCCTTACCTTGGGAATCATTCAATTAAATGCAGCAGACAGCTAATAAGCAAGAAAGCAAACACATAGGAAAATTTAAAATGCCTAGGTATAAGAAAATGGGACAGAGGGTATGATAGAGAGAGCATGATAGAGAAGTCAAGGAAAACTTCACTGAAGAAACACCAGTGAAGCAGATCTTTAAAGGATCAGAAAGATGGATGCTTGTGAAGAGCTGTGAAAGAACATTCCAGGCAGAGGGCCAAGCAGATAGCAAAGGCCTGGTGGGTACACACAACTAGAGGGTGGTAAAAGATGAGGTCGGCCAGGAAATCAGGAGCCACTTCTGCAGGGCACTGTTAGCCAAGGTAATGTGTCTGGATTCTACTCAACAGAAAGATGACAGAATCAGACTTAAGAAGCTGCTCTTATTAGAAAGATAATTTGACTGTTTTCCTTCACATGTGTAAGTGGTGCCTTAACTGGGTTGAGGCTCCCGAGACAAACAGGGCCCTTCTGTAGAGTAACTCAAGAGATGTTCCCAGGCACATGGTCTTGGGATTTGGTTTGACGCTGGACCACGTGTGATTCACGGAAATATCCAGTAGAGGGGAAGAGAAGAAAGTCTACCACGGCACTATATGAACCCTGACGCCCAACCATCCAGCGTTCAACAGGAGTTATTGAGTATTTACGTGCCAGGCACAGTGCTGAGCACTGGGGACAGGGGCAGGTGAGACAGACACAGCCTCTTTGCTGGGAGAACCAGTCCTCACACCACCTCCTCTCTACCAATACTTCCCAGGCAAAGGGCCACCCACCCCACCCTTTCTAACAGCCTGATCCACCCAGGAGGCCCTTCGTGATTTTCTCCAAATGGCAGTGGGGAGTGCAGGAGAAGTAAGAGAGAAAAGAGGAAATCCCAGATCCTCCTTCACTCCCACCTGGTACCTCCTACAAATGGTTCTGAACACCAGGAACCAGCCAAGGACAGTCTGACTCCTTGAAAAGATAACACAAGGGATCCAAGGGCAAGGCTTGTTACATCCTATAACCCTCACACAAAGTGAGCACAGAGGGGCCAGGATGACTGAAAATTTTTTCATTTATCACTCCGGGTAGAGCTGGACCAGAGGGAAAACCCTATGCTCTAGGTCTTAGGCTTGAGCTTTTAGTCTTTAAAAACTGGATAGAGCCAAGAAGGTAAGTGAGCAGCTTCCACTTTGGTCTACAAAAAATGGAGAATTTTAAGGAACTACAAAATTTTGTTTTGATGCAAAGCAGCAGGGCCAGTCATTCTGCTAAAACATTATGAAAAGGGATTATTTTCTGATATTTTCTTCCCAGTAAGTCTCCTCCAGTTAGTGAACCAAGCATTTGGTTGAATAACTGAGAATATTCCTCACCACAATCTATTATTGCCAACTACCAGCCCACTCCACTCTTACTAGCTTTATCTATTTGTAAAATTCAACTAAATATCAGTAGGGTAAGAGGTAAGAATAAACTTTACAGAGTTTGCCAAAGTATTTGTAATCCATTGAAACTTCTGGGAAGAAAATATAGCTTTCAGTAATTTAAAGCAAATCTACTATTTCTCCAAACTTAATGAGAATCATCAAAATAAATCATCTTGTTTACAGCATGATTCTGCTTTGGGTTTTAGAGAAAACGCACTTAATACAGCAAGAAAAATGACCTATTAAATTATACTGTATGGAACAAAAAAATAGGACTCCCCAATTTTGCCCTTCAATTTAAAATGTTTATTGGAGTGTGCAAGCTTTAACTTTGAGAGGCAGAGAGCAAGAAACCTCTCTTCTTCATTTAAATAATATAATTTATCCAGTGAAAAACAGATAATAAAATAATTTTCCATAACCTAAAGTTAACTCTCAAACAGAAGCTGCCTTCAAGTCATTATGCTTCAACAGATATTGAGAAAAGATAAAATTTAGAAAACGATTCATGGTGAGACCTATTATGTCAGGATTAACACATTAAATAGTTAAAAATGTAAACATTTGTGTGTATCCTTTCATACACTGAGTTAGTTATAGGCTTTTACTTTAGGTGAAACTTAAAGTCTTGGAAGAGATTGATTGGAATTTAGTTACTGAATATTTTCAAAGAACTGACTTGGTGACATAGCTGTACTGACTGTCTACAATTGCCATTAAAAAAAAAAAAACACTAATTACTCTTAGCTGCTTTAGTAATGGTATGAAAATTTCACAAACCTTTATGGAGATTTGAACAAAGACCCTTCCCTCTTGGCCCTCAAGGAGACAAGATTCTCCCCATTTCTGATCTCACCATGGCTAAGGGTTACTGTAGGCAGCCTTTGGGCCTACCTTGTTTTAGTCATCACTGAGTTTACAGCTATGGAATAAACTTTTGAAACTACATTTTAATATGGGTGCTGGGTACTAACACTTGAAACTGAGTGATAAGGTCACAAGTCACTCCTCTGGAGACACTTTTCCTTTCAAGGTGTCTACTCAGCACATGGTTCTCTCCAACCTCGCTGGCTACCTCCCTCAGTGTACTCTGCTGGTGTCTCTTTCAGGATTCTAAATGACGGTATGTTCAGGACCCAGGCCTCAGCCCCTCTCTGTCTACACTCTTGATCTTCATGCAAGTTAAGTGCATATTTCGGCTTTCATCTCTCATCTAACCTCCAGATCCATATGCCTACTAGACATTTCCACTGGGTATCCATTAGCCATCTTAGACTTACCTAATCAAAAAAGAACATTCAGGCCCTCCATATCTGAGTAAGAACTATACCACCAATCACCTGGTTATTCAGACTGACAACCAGGAACCATTCAGTATGTCCCATAGATTCCATATTCAACATATATTCCAAATTCCGTCACTTCTCACTATCTATGCCACACAATCTTGTCACATCATTTCTCCATCAATCTCTTCTGCACAGCAGCTGTAGCCTCCTTATTGGTCTCCCTGCCTCCATTCTTGCTCCTAACAATCCAATTTCCACTTAGCAGCCAGAGTGAACTTCCTAAAACTATAAATCAGATGATATCATCTCCTCAAGTAAAATCCTCCAATGGCTCCAGTTATTCTTAGACTAGACCCTCCTTGCCCTTGGCTGCCTGCATTCTCTTCCCTCTGTCTACAGGGTGCCCCAGTGGACTTCTTTCTATACCATGCTTATTCTCCTGCTCAGAGCCTTTGCCATTAACACTTCCTTCCCCTAAGAATTCTCTCACCTCAGATCTTCATTTCACTGTCTCCTTATCACCTTCCAGATCTCCATTCAAATTCCTCCTCTTTTGAGGACTTCCAGGAGCTGAACAAAGCAGCAACACCCCCACCCTGTCATCACTTTCTATCACATGACCTTATTTGGTTTGCTCTGTAACAATTAGTATGTGACCTCTTCCCAATCAATGGGCCACTACAATTAAAGCATGTAACCAGCTAAAGCAGAAACCATATAAACCCCAAGACCTATGTGTGTGTAGGCAAACCTGTTTCAATCTATGAAGGGAATCTGGATGAGACACACACACCCCAAGTACATCACTACTGAAAATAAAGAATACCAGCTTTGCCATGAAGCCTCCATGTAGAGCAATGTTAATTGCATAGGAGCAGTGTAACTAAAATTAATACCTTACCAGGAGCACAAACAAAAAATAACAGCAGATGGTTCTTACACTTTTATAGTCAAAATTTTTTTAAATCATCCCACCAGAATTCTAATCAAGTTGTTGAGAGCAAAGTCTCTGTGAACCATACGGCCTGCCTATTAATACACTTGACCTGTTACCCAACAACTATTCCCAGCCTGGAAGGAATATCACTCTGGAAGACAAAGGAAAGCAAAAGACTCACACAGTTAGAAGATGGGCACCAGGAGGGATATTAAAGAAAGTGAAATTAATTGTCCCCAAGAAGAGATAATCAGGAAGTAACTCAAAACAATCTCTAAGACCGACCAAGAGTTGTGACCAAAGGTTGTCAGTGATCTGAATGATTTTTCTTTTAGAAAGAAACAGAAAAAAAAAGAAAAGAAAAATTTCCACAGAGAGATTTTAAACTCAGTCTGGAATTATCTTCAGACACTGAGGAGTATTTGGAAGAGGAAATGATTACCAAGAACAATCATTAACTCTCTGTCCCAGGTATTTATGTGACTTCGTTCCTGAAAGTACAGGAGACAACAGGTTCTTTCAGCCTATGCTGACCACCTTCCTACCGCTGTCCATCAACACCATCACCAACCACTATGACCCAAGCTCTTTTATGCTCTGTCTCATTAATTTCTCACAGCAACTCTAGGAGGCTGCTATTATTATCCCCATTTCACAAACTGGAAAACTAAGGCCAACCCAACATTATCAATTCTATTACTTTGGTGAAATAACTTTAAAGCTCTGATTTCAAGTGTTATTCGTTTGCACAGTATTGTTTTCTTAAGAAGCTTATTATTTATTAGAAAAGCAGGAGACATCCAAAATAGCATATGCTGAGACTAATACGAAGGATTGAAGCAAAGTGATTAATGAGGTAACAGAAGACAGAGCCCCCGACTGCAGCCTATTACAGTTAAAGTGTTAACCATGAAGGAGGGACTGACATGAAACCATCAAGAGAAGAAGCGATTAAGATCTGGGAGGAAGGGCAGGA